ATTCAAGAAATACTGGATATATTTTATGTCTTGCTTAATATATTGTATATTTGATGAATTTATCAATTTCAGAATTTCCACTAGTCTATCCTTTAATCATATATCTAGGTCACATTTTTTATATGATATAATTCAAACATTCAAAGAATAACGAGTGATGAGTTGTTAAATATAATGGATTTTTGGTTTTGTTCTATTTATTATTATGAAGGGTATAAAGATAAAAAAAAATATGGATATTATGGAAAAGAAATAAAGGAAGCATTTGAAGAGGCAGATAAAGAGATACCAAATATATCAATTTTACGTAAAGCAAATCCTGATGCTGTATATACAAATAGAGCTTTTTCATTTGAAAATTTGACAAAGCCTATTAATTCGTCTCTTATCATCTCATATCTTGAAAAGGATGAAAATAATGAAGGTAATATACACTTGGCATTTTTTTATTTTTAATAACGAAATATTAATTTCAATGCATTTTAACAGATTTTCAAGATTCTCAATTAATTGAATTAGAAATTCCTAACTAATTACGATCAAGAGGTAATATGAATTATCGATACATATGACTGCAATTTGAATATTAACTAATATTGATTTACATATAATTGTAGACGTCAGTAATTGAAGTTTATTATGTACCAATGTTGAAGCAAATAACCTTTTAACTAATATTTTTGTACTGCAAGATATTTTATCTTGTAGAAATTAATTTTAAATGTAATTTTAACCATTTTATGAGAAATTCACTACTTTTTCAGATATACCTAATAAATAGTTTATATTTTTAAATGATTTTTTAATATTATTTTTTTTTATTAATAAAACATTATGTTCTAAATTTCCTTACGTCGAGTAAGCAACCAATCTAACCCGTGAACATGAGATCCAATTCAAGGAGAGTTTTCTTGATTTATTCATAAGATTACATCATACGGATGTTAATGTTCATCGGTCGGTCAAAAGCTTCTGACCGACGGTTGACCGACCGATTTAACTGACCTCTGTTTTAATTAGTAAAATAATAATTTTGTATTTAATAAATATACATTTTATTTAATAATATATATTAAATTTCAATAAAAAATTAAAGTCCGTAATAACGCTGTAGAATACGCATAAGATATATAAAAGCGATGTATCCTTTTTATTTAATTAAAATGTTTGCTGTTGATCAAATATGCAATCATAGTTACATTAATCAAGTGTTGACTTATTATTGATAGACGAGTTAAATAAACATCCACAATGCATGTAATTTCCCTCATGTCTTTTAATGTTATTTATTTTATCCTTAATATATTTGCTAGAAATAATCACTTAGTTAAGATACAAAACAAAATAAAAGCAAAGAATAAAGTAATCGAATATAATGTAACAGGCATAATTACAAATGCAATTTGGATATAAAGCTGAATGCAATGCGGTAAGGGCCGTAATTAATCGAGCACGAAAAAATTTACAATAAGTCATTTAAATCACAAATATAAGCGTTAATAATTAACGGTAATATATAGAAAAATAAAAATTAAATTAATGATGATGTTTTAGATGCCGATTATCCATGGAAAATTAGTTTCCAGATCTTAAACTAATTCTTAAACCATTCTATTTGTATAATATTACTTTGTTTAACCCAAGAATTTCATTAAAAAACTTCAAAAATCATTCAGCAATTGCGTTGGGATAATGAAAAGTGCCAATACATTACAAATACCAGTGATTTAATAAATTGCAAAGAAAAGCAAAGGTATTTATACCTAAAAATTACTTTTTCCGCGTGGTAAGGGTATCATGAACTTCATTTTTGTTAATCGAACTTGCGTTTATCCTCGAAATCCTCGGAAAATATCATAATGTAAACAAAAGATACAAGAGAAGATATTAATTTCGGCAACTTATAACTCAAACGTTATTCTCGTTCCAGCAGAGCATTCGCATTACATAGTACATTAATTCTGGTTATATTTAATTTTATGGAATAATATTGTAAATTTCTAACCTAAAACTCGCAGTGTTCGCATATGACACTGAATGGCCTTAAAATGATCTCAAATTACAACATTTTTATTATAAATTTCAAAATAAAATGACAAGGTCATTTGAAAAATAGTAAAATTAACATCACATCGTATAATATTGAAGATCATAACTTATGTGCGCGTACATTATTGAATTTAATAGCCGAGTATCGTACAAAAAAATTTATTTATTCAATAAATCAACTAATGCGTTAATATTCATAGAAATTTCAAAGGTTCCAATGGTTAACGTGAAAATATTGGCTCATTTTGTAGCGATGAATCCTTTTTTATAAAATATAATTAGTCTCACTATAAACTAGATATCAATAAATAAATATAGAATAAGTAATTGGATTGGAGAAGCTATTAAACGCAGATATTAATTGTCCGGATTTCTATAATGCGATTATTATTATGATTATTCCTATGAACTGTTTAATCGTTGTCGTTAAATAAACTTTCCTTTCAGAATCATGAAGTCAAAATCTGTTTCTCAGATTGTTACATCTGCGTAATTAAAATTACCCACATCACACAAATAACCTCGTACTTTCCGCAAGCCCAATATAAATGTAAAGAGTTAGACTTACCTTTACACAAAATCATCCATTAAAACTGATCTGTAAATTTTAGTGATCCGTAAGGGTCGGTTCGGATCGGGTTTGAAGCATAATTACAGAAACCGAATTCGACTCGACCAGATCACGGATCCGATTATTGTTTTTCCCGGATTCGACTCGAATTTTCAAGATTAATATTATTCCGAAAAAAATGTGTCATATAATTTAATAATATTTTTTTTTTTGTTGAATATTAATCCTAATTATATTTTTTTTTTACCATCTAATTCCACCAGAATTAATTTCAAACACATACAGGCGCGAATGGCATTAGATTTAAGATCGCATCGCTTTTGATCGGTTCCTCCAGAAACAATTCGTTTTACTGAGAAACTTGTTACTTTATAGAAAAAATGCATTAGTTAATGTTTAATATATTTGATAATTTTTTTTTTTACCCGTAATTGCAAGGTATTATGGCTAAATTTAGATATTCAGTTCATTGCAACTTTATAAATTAATAAATTAAATTTATTATATATCCTTATAAGATCAAACTATGTATATTTTTACATTTATTGAATAGCTTTATTAGTGATATATGTAATGATTGAATGTCGCTATATTATACAAACATATTAATATTATTAATTTTTTATAGTACTATATGACGTTAAAGTATTTTGATCTGTATACAAAAATAAATTAATATATAATTATTTTATATAAAACTTGATAATACTAATCATACCAGATGTGAAAATAGCATCAACTAATCCATTTAATGAAACATTTTGGAGTTTTTCATTTGATCGTTCATATGATTTCAATCCACTTATAGATTTATATCGGGATATTGACATAACTTCAATATCTGTAAACTTAATTCCTTTAATAAAGAAACTAAAGATTTACATCCAGAATGGTTAGTAATTTTTCCCCCTTCAACAGGAATTCCACATTCAACTGCAATATTATGAAGGAATCCTTGTAATTGAAGTTTTCCTATTTGATTTTTTATACCATCTCCCTTCATAAATATATAATAATAAAATATAACAGTTAAATTAATAAATGATGATATTATTAATTTTTGAAATTACATATATTATTTACCATTTTCATTAGTTATTTCCTGTAAATAAAATTCTTCTTTGCATCAACAGGACGTTTGATAAAAAATAAATCATACCTGCAATAATACTTGGATAATTCTGAATTTGTAATTTATCACCAGAACTATTATTTGGATCTTCAATACCTTCTTGTTTTGTCTTTGATCAAGTAATATTTACATCATAACCTCCATCATATTTTTTATGAAAATGGTTAAATTTTAATTTATAATTTTTTCCATCATGAAGACCAAGAAAAATTGTATTATAAAAAAAGATTCTTTTTAAAAGTCCTAATGGAATTTCTCAAATAAATATAGGAGATTACAAAATCTGTTAATATTTCTTAATAGTAAGAGCTAAAGATCCCTTTTTTATACCTTTATCAACTTTAGCTAATTTTTTTAATTTACCATCAAATATCAAATGTAAATCAGAAAATTGCTTTTGATCAAGTAAATCAATTGATCATTGTAAGAATACATATTTTGATGTTAATTCAATGCATACACTGCATTAATTATATATGATATTGAATATTCTTCTCCATTTTGTTATTTTATTATTATAACATAATCAGATATCTATTCTTCTAAGTCTTTTAAATTAGTAATATTCTCATAAATATCAGCTAGTTCAACTGTTTCATGATAATTTTCAAATTTTTTAAGCTAGCTATTTGTTGATAAATGAGTATTTTTAACAACATACTTTTATTTAAAATATTCTTTTTGTTCCTTTGTAGGTTTAGTATAAACAATCGAAGAAGATAACTAAAAACATAAAATAAATAACTACAAATATATGAAATAATTAAAAAATATGCAAAACAGCCAATACTGACCTATTTTTTCATGAAACTTTCATGTTAAAATTTGAAAAGAAAAAGTGTATTATAGAAAAAAAAGAAATAAAAATATTAAATTATTAAAATTAACTAAAAATAAACTCATTTTATAATGTGATCATGTGAGTCTATATAATATATACTTATTGTATAAATCTTTAGAAAATCTTTACTATTTTTAATTTTAGTAATTTTATGATCAGATTGCCTACTTACGTAGCATAATCTAAGCCTATCAAATAACCTAAATTAGAAATAGCATGTTATTATCTAAATACTATACAATAAGTATATAATATTATATAATATGTACCAAATAAGAATATCTTGATATCATGCTACTTAGAAGGCATTTAAATATAATTCTACATCATTTTGTTTAATTTACAAAAATATAATTTAAAATTACATCACTTTAATCTTATTTATTGCAGATGCATAATTTGTATATTCTTTTTATAAATAGACAAATAGTTGTCTTTATTTCATTTGACTATTTTTAGTATTCTGTACTTTATAATCAAGTTTAACTTTATCAAAATATCATCATATATAGTACAAATTTTATTATAATTAATAAATCGGGATAAAGAAAAAATTATTATTTATTTAAATTATTTTAAAATTACTGTTATTTATTTTAAAAAATTTCAGAAGATTAATCATTTTCTATTTACATTTTCATTTAATTCAAAGAATATATTTAAACTAACCATAAATTTTATTACTTACAATTGTAAAAATCTAGGTTCATAAAGATTTAATAAAATAATATCAGAGATAATTATAATACTCAACTTTCTTCAGCTATTATAGGTATTTTTTATAAAAATTTGAAATCAATCAAAAAAATTCTTATCAATCATAAGATAATTATTTAATAATTAGCTTAACAATTTTAATTATTTTATAAACTTTAATTATTGATGTCTATAATATATAAATCTATTTCATATTTAAATTGCAATAATAAATATTTATAATTCATATTATCTCTTGATTATAATTAGTTGGAAATTTTTAATTCAATTAATTGAGAATTTTGAAAATCTATTAAAATGTATTAAAATTAATATTTCATTATCGAAATAAAAAGTTAAGTATATTTTACTTTCATTATTCTCATTCTTTTTGAAATTTGAGATAATAAAAGACAAATTAATAGGTTTTGTCAAATTTTTAAATAAAAATTCTCTATTTGTATATATAGCATCAGAATTCATTTTGTATAAAATTGAAATATTTGATATCTTTTTATTTGCCTCTTCAAATGCTTCCTTTATTTCTTTTTCAGAAAATTCATATTCTTTAATATCTTTATTTTACTTATATTTATAAATAGAACAAAAAATTAATATATTAAATAACTTATCATTCATTAGTTTTTGATTTGGATTTGCATCTATATACCTATAAGCCAATTTCTTATAAAATTCAGGGATACCTTTTCAAAATTTTAGATGAAGTCAATTACAAATATCTAAGACTAAAAATACGTTATATTTTCTATCATCAAAAGAAGAGTTTTCAGATAATAATTCAGCTATAATTACATTAACACTGTATACATCAGAAGCTAAAGTATAAAATTCTTTATACAAAACATCTAGAGTGATATAGTAATATATTGTATATTTTATTATCTGATTTTTACTTATTTGTTGATTCATTAATTCAAAGTCTGAAATGTAAGAAGAAGATATATCTTACAAGATATTTTTATTATAAAAATCCTTATAACAATATCTTAATTTATTTAAATTATCAAGATCAAAACTTAAATGAAGTAATTTTATAATTTTATTTTTCTATAACAAGATGTTAAATTTATTTGAAAGATAACTACTCAAATTTCCATCAGGTACAAATTATATGATCATAATAAAATCTTTAATTTCTGAATCCTTAATTATCCTATAAAATTCTAATGCATTACATATTTGATAAATATCTCAATATGCTTTAAGCTAGTTTTTGTAATAAAATTTTAAAAGCAAATTAGAAGAATATTCTAATTAATTTATATCAAATATAAATGTGATATACTTTACTAAATTATTTGGCTGATATCTCCCATAATCCATTTAACTTTTTTAAAGTAACCTTCTTAGGTTTAAGATCATATTTTATCCAATTTCTGTCATCTTTTTTATAAAATTCTGAATGACTATCAATCTATGTCACAAAATATACTTTGACAAATCCTCCTTTACCAATTTCTTATATTTCTATAAATCTATTAAAAGGCATCTATTCAAGAAATACTGGATATATTTTATGTCTTGCTTAATATATTGTATATTTGATGAATTTATCAATTTCAGAATTTCCACTAGTCTATCCTTTAATCATATATCTAGGTCACATTTTTTATATGATATAATTCAAACATTCAAAGAATAACGAGTGATGAGTTGTTAAATATAATGGATTTTTGGTTTTGTTCTATTTATTATTATGAAGGGTATAAAGATAAAAAAAAATATGGATATTATGGAAAAGAAATAAAGGAAGCATTTGAAGAGGCAGATAAAGAGATACCAAATATATCAATTTTACGTAAAGCAAATCCTGATGCTGTATATACAAATAGAGCTTTTTCATTTGAAAATTTGACAAAGCCTATTAATTCGTCTCTTATCATCTCATATCTTGAAAAGGATGAAAATAATGAAGGTAATATACACTTGGCATTTTTTTATTTTTAATAACGAAATATTAATTTCAATGCATTTTAACAGATTTTCAAGATTCTCAATTAATTGAATTAGAAATCCTAACTAATTACAATATAGAGGTAATGTAAACTATCGATACTTATGACTTCAATTTAAATATTAACTAATTTATGCATAATGGTAGACGTCAGTAATTGAATTTATAGATTTATTGTTTACGGCAGATGTTGAACCAAATAATCTTTTAACTAATACTAACATTATTGAAACAGCAAGATATTTTATCTAGTAGTAATTAATTTTAAATATAATTTTAATCATTTTATGAGAAATTTCACTACTGTTTCAGATATAACTAATAAATGTTTAATTTAATAAAACATTATGTTCTAATTTTCCTTACATCTAGTAAGCAACAAAATTTAACTCATGAACTTGTTATCCAATTTGAGGAGAATTTTCTTGGTTTATTCATAAAGCTTACATCATAGAGATGTTAATGTTCACGTTATTACAGGTAATAATTGTGACCGATATCGGTCAGTCAAAGACCGGTTTGACCGACCGATTTAACCGAACTCTGTTTAATATATAAAATAATAATTCTTGTATTTAATTATATATATTAAATTTCAAAAAAAAAAAAAAAAAAATTAAATTCCGTGATAACGCTGTAGAACACGCATAAAGATATATACATTCACATAGTTTATATTCCAAAAGGAAATCAATTAAAGCAATGTATCATTTTATTTAATTAAAATGTTTGCTATTGGATATGCAGCCAAGTAATGTATGAATAATTGCGAACCAAACTTTAAAATATCCATTTGGCAAATAATGTGATTTGTGGAAAAATTAAATGATGACATCAAAACAAGGAAACATATAAAATATGCAAGAAATTAATGTAAATTTACTTTCATACTCAGGAATCCCTACTTCTTTTCAAACATAACCTAAATTCATAGGATATTGACCACATCTTCACAAGTGCAAATTAATAAGCTATATTACGGCGTGAACCCTTCTCTCGAAGCTCGGTTTTTCTCCATCACGTGCATAGAAAAAAAACCTATTGGTCCGTACTGAATGTTTATAGCATTTAATTCTTAGGACAATTCAAATTTATCCTAGAATAAATTTTTCTGTTATGAAGATTATGTCCATGGTTGAATGCTGTCATTCTTACGAATTTTATGCATTGGAATTGTGCATTAGTGTAATGCACGAAAAATCTGGACGTTTGTTGAAAGTGCTTAAAAATGATTACTGGGAAAATATCAAGCTAAAATGTAATTACAAAAAAAAAAAATAATAATAATTTGCTTGTTTTAATTTACTACAAGCAGTCGAATTTTTTGATTAATTATTTTTTGGTTTACTCCTATAACATTAATGTTATAACAATGCATCAACGAACTAGTGGGAGCACTAGTTCGATTATAATGATTTATATCGAATCTTATCGAGTTCTTTTTGTAAGGACAGATGTCCCGATATTTAGATATAAGTGCTTTTCTGTAAAAAAATTTTGAACTTGCTAAGTTTAACTGTCTCAACCAGTTCCAACCTATATCAAGCGAAGAAATGTAGGTCTTATTTATTCAAGAAGTAAGATTCGGGATGACACGTTTTTCAGCATGTTTCTCGATGGATCAAGTGTGTATGAGGAGATAGAGTATTTGATCAGTTTTGATGGTTCAGCTGTGTAAAAAAGATTTAATCAAATAACACCCTTATCGCGGAGATTGCATTTTTGATTATATGAAGTTTTCTGTGGACTGGTTTTCAGTTTGTGTTTTTTGCGTTAACAATTATATTATAAATAGACAAGTTGTTTTCATATTGAACATTTTCTGTAATCCGTTATTTATGATCAAGTTTCAACTTTTCGGTCTATCATATTTAGTACAAAAATTAAAATCAATAAATCGTGCTATCCTTTAGCTAAAAAAAAAATTTTTTTTTGTTTAAAGTATTTTAATATTACAACTAGGATTTATTTTCACTGCGGGTGACTTCGTCACCCACCCGTTCTATTTTGTATTTTAACAAAAATAATTCTATTAATATTTAGATTTAAATAGGTAATCTAGTTTCTGATAATTTCTCTAGCCTAATGTATTCTTTTTTTACTCTTTCATCAACTAAAAATGCATCAGGTGTAAGAGCCAAATTTTTATATCATTCCAAGATTTACATCTGCTTAAAGCTACATATGATTGGCCTCGCGCGAACCATTTGATTATTTAAATAAAGTGAGGTTTGTGGTAATGTTATCGCTTGTGTTTTATGAACTGTTAAGGCAAAAGCATTTTGTAATGGAAATTGAATTCTACATGCTAGTATTCCATTAATATTGAAATGTACAGTTTCTTGTTCTATTTAAATATCAATAATTCCTTTGTTTATACAAAATGCTACTCTTACTATTTGTCTATTATTGTCAATATCTGTAACAATACCTATGGTACCATTACAAATTTGCTTACTAATATGTTTGTTGTTAAGAAACAATACTCAACATCCTATTTGCAATCTTATTAAAGATGGTAAGTTTGTTTTATATTTTATTAAGTATTCTGAACTTTCATGTTCTTGTACTTCTCCTTTAATGATATCCTTTTAATATGAAATTATATATTTTTCATTTTCAATTGGTAAAGTATTAAAAATTTGAGTGTTAATTTGTTCAGCTGTCTCTTTATAACCTACAACATGGGTTGTATTCGATATATCTTCTAATGATGAATTATTTGAGCTTTCTTGGTATTTTTTATTTAATAATTGCCATGTTGTTTCTGAAATATTTCCAAATCTAATATTTTCTAATAGTGAATAATATTGAAGATCATCTATTTGTCTTTTTGGTTGTCTTAAGAAAAGTGGGTAAAATAATTGTCATAAAGGTGAATAAAATACAAGATTTCCATTTACTGGTAGTAATTGAAAAAAGATCTTCTAAGATTATAATACTGATTTCTCCAAATGGTTGTGAATTATTATGTAATTTAAAAAATATATTTGAAAGGTAGCTAAATAATTCAGATGAAACCATTGATATTTCATCAATTATGAGAATTTTTATCTTTTTAAGATTTTCTTTGAATGATTTATTATTAAATGCTAATGTTTGAAAACCACCTTCTATAGCAAGAATTTTTAAGGCTGAATGTATTGTATAACCTCCAATATTTTTGCTACAATACCAGTTGGTACAAGTAGTAAATAAGGATCATTTTTTTTTAAAAATTCTTGTAATAGATAATGAGTAACATATGATTTTCAGTTCCAGCAGAATCTGTTATAAAGAAGTATGGATAATGTTTTCTATCTAATAGACCTAGAGTTCTTATTATTCTTTTAATACATTAATATTGATCATCTGGTAATATTAACATTGTATTTAAAATTGTTATTAATGATATAATTTTCATTTTCATTAATTGGTTATGGATTATTTCTTTAAATTATGAATTTGTTAAATTCATTAAATTTTGTAAGAATATGTAAGTAAGTTCAAAAAATTGGTTATTAAAACTATCAGTTTCTTTTTGATACTTTTTCTTATATAAGATACACTCATTTTAATATATTTCTGGAAATTTATTAAAAAATATTCTCAATATATAAAATTTTCTTTTAATTCTTCTTCACTTTTAGGTTTAAGTCTTAATAATAGTTATTGATAAAAATATAATTCACTATGTGCTAGTCTTAAATATCTTATTCTTATTATAAGTTTATTTTTTCTTTTTACAATATAATTTTCAATTTTATCTTAAAATATATATTTAGAGTTATTATTTTTAAAGGTGTAATATTATAGTTTTCAAAATATCTTGATATAATAATAATTCAAACTTATTTTGTTTTAGTCTGTTAAAATATTTTTCTATTGAATCTGAGTAAAATGGTATATCATTATTTTCTAAATTCATTAATAATAAAATTGGAAGTATTATAATTAAGTATTGAATATTACTAGAAGAATTACAAATATTTTCTCCAAAAATTAAAAACATTAATTCCATCGTTATTAATTTGTAATCTTGAACATATTATCTATATTTATCACCTTCTTGAATATTAAAAATATATGTAGGTTCTCTTTTTACAATATATTAAGTTATATATCATACAAATTCTTTTGTTATTATATATTGTAAATTCATATGTGCATTCTAAATATAAAATATTAGTGCATAATATGGTACTATCTATTTATTTTGTTCTTTTTTACATTTATAAACAAATTTTAAATTATTTGTATTTTTATATATGTATTCTGAATATAATTGTGAAAAACCTTTTTTGCATGTTTCTTCTGAAACAGTTGATTAATCACATTTTGAATTACATATATAAATTTATGGAGTTTTTACAAGAATATATAATTCTGATTCTGTTTCTGAATCTGATAAATCTGCTTTTATAATATTATTATTTATCATATTACTAATAGATTTTGTTGTTTATAAGCATCTATAAATATAAGCTGCACCGGATTTAAAATTCAACACATTCAAAAAAATGTAATATTTTTCCCCAATTTATTAATTCTGAATATTTCTAAAGATTATTTTTTATACTTCTTAAACAATGTATAAAATGATGCATATAATAAAATGGTCAATTAGTTTGTAATATATAATGATTATTAGTTTTTAATAAAATATTTTTAAATGTTTCCATCTGCTTTTATTCATTATTAATATTATAAATAATTAAAGTAAACCAATATTATTTATCATTGCATTGATATGATATTCTTTTTCCTAAAAATATGAGTTTCCTATTTTGATAAAAGTAGGTAATGTAATAGTAATTTATTCATTAATTCTTAGTTTATCAATATAAGAACTTTTTTAAATTAAATTAATAGCATATGTAGAATCGTATAAATGAAATACTTGATTTGTCAAAAAATTTTTTGATTATTTTAATAATTATGATACTTTTCTAATTGTAAATAAGACTATGTAGGCTATATATAATGTAATCTAAATCTTAGATCTTTTCCTCCAATTCATTCTTTAATATATTTTCCATAAGTTTCAATTTTTCATTTAAAGCTAAACTTTGATTTACCAAATATTGATATGTTTCTTTACTATTTAGATATAGATTAAAAAATAATAATGCTATTAAGTTAAGATTATTAAATGATATAGAAAGTGATAAATTATTATCTGTTCTAGCAAATCCTGCTATGAATTGATTAAAATTTGCATTTTCATCATGTATTTCTATATCAAAATTATTATTAGGTACTATAATTTTACCTGATTTTACTGTAGGAACATTTTCTTCTTCTAATAAATGAGTTGCTATTAGAAATGGTATATTATGAATTTGATCTTATTTTTCAAGATATATTTTAATAATTTTAAATAAGGATTGTTTTTTTTAACTAATTTGATTCTTGAATAAGAGTAGGATAAAACCAATAATTTTTATCAGTAGTAGTATTATTTGATTCAAGAAATACTTCTAAAATTCTAATATATAAAGTAAAAGATCTAATATTTTAGAATAATTCATAGTTCTTATAATATTACGATATTCACTAAATAGATTTACTCCTGATGTTCTACCTATTGAAAAATGAAGATAAATAGGTAATAAGAATTTGTGTTTGCTTAATGGAATTATTTGTATTTCAAGTAGAATAAAAATTAAATAAGAGGAAAATATTCAATTAAAATTATTTTACATGTAAGACAAATAGCAATATATGTAAGAAAATGTGAATATAATGGAAATTTCAATCTTAAAAATGCTTTTTTAAAGGAATATAAAATATTTTCTCTATATGATATCCATTTGGCCTTGTTAGAATATAGTAAATATCCACAATTTGAATATAAAAGACATAGAAACTATTTTAATACAATTTGTTAAAATGTTTCATATAAATGTTTAAGTTTTTTTTATGGTTTCTATGGTATTGTAATATTGAAAAAAGGTTGTTGAATATTTACTTGTTCTGAAATATTAAGTGATTGTGAATTGCTTGAATTATTATCAAATTGTAATATAGATTCATAATCTTTAAAGTTGTAATTATTTAATATATAAATATTAAAGTTTAAGTTATTCATATTTGATAAATTTTTAAAACATTCTTGTAAAATTTTTTTTTAATTTAAAATAAATATTAATTTTTAGAGAAGCATTAGTGGTTTTATATATGATTTTAAATTTTAAAATAATATTATTATTTTGTTATATTATTCATATTTATTTAATATTATTTTATTATATATTATTAAATATTTGTAATAAGTATTTATAATATTAAATTATTTGTAATACATTTATTATATTATTAATATATTAATTATTTATATTATTAATTAAATAAACAATTTAAAGTTTATTTATATTTTTAATTTTTAATTTTAAATGATTAAAATAGTTGTTAAATTTTATTTTATATAATAAAAAAAAAACAATTGCTAATTTAAATCATTAATATTTAAAATATTTTAATTTCTAAATTAAATAGTTAAACTATTTACTTTTTGTCACTTACATTATCAAGAAAGTCATTTGCCAAATCAGATATTTTACTGCAAGTTCTTTTCAATGGCTTGTCTTTGCTATTAAGTGTGTTTGTTTTAGATTTTTGGTTATATTTTTTCTTGTTTAGTTTTGAAATAAACGATTCTTTTTATAAAAAAAGATTAATTAAAATTTATGTATAATAAGTTTAATAATAAAAATAATAGATAAAAAAGTCATACCTTCAGTATTATTATTAGAAATAACTTCTATTTTATTAGTTTCTACTTCTTTATGATCATTAATAAAATTAGGTAAATCATTACTTGTTTAGAACTGATTTTTATTAGTTACCTTTTTAAGTCTGGAAGAATTTAACCATGGAATTTTGCTAAGATCCTTTTTTCCATAGACGAGAAATAAATTCCATTATTAACATATACAATATAGTTAACTAAAATTATAATTTCTTCATCATATTTAATTAATTTCCCATGATATCAATTTTATTTCCTTTTTGTAATTTGTTTACTTTCATATATTCTTGAATTTTGTATAAAACAAATACATGTTATTGGAATTTCTGTATGATTTTTTTCATTAAATTCTATTGCTTGCGATTTGAACATGAAATTTTCACCTTCAACAATTGGGGCTGATAGTACATTGCATTGAAATGATACAAAAACTTCTTGCTCTAGTGTATTATTAGTATCAATATTAATTTGATATGATGTTGTTTTATTGAACTTTGAATTTAAAGAAAAATTTTTTTAGTTATTATGTTCATTAAAAAAAAGTAAAAATGATAAATTAAAATAAAAATATTTTTACTTAAAGTTCTTAAAGACCGTTATTTAGCTTTTTATTTTATACAAATTTTCCATTAATGAAATATGCACAACCTGAATCTATTTGTTTGTCAAACGAAGTAAAACTAATAAATATAGGATTGTTATTTGTAGGTCTATTATATGCAATTATTCCATTTGTAACGGAAGTAAAGTTAAAACTATTAGCAGTAATAGTATTCGCTTCAGTAACGTATCCTATAGCAGAAAATACACAAGGCATTTTTTTCTTTTTTGAATAATTATATTATTTATTTATTTTCGCATTATTAAAACTCTCTTTATATATCTTTTGTTTTTTAAAAATTTAATTTTTATTTAGCTTGGTTTAGAGAGCTCGATCAGTCTGTCACAGCTAGATACGTGACTAGGATTTTTTATTTTTTTTTCTACGTTGTTCTCATTACTAATTAAATATTATTATTTTTTATTTTTTAGCTTTCATTTACTTAGATTTCATGCGATCGGTTCAGTACGATCGGTCTATCATGGCTAAGAGTAAGTGACCAAACTTTCTATATTATTTTTTTCTTACATTGTTCTCATTACTAATTAAATTTTTTTTTTCTTTTTTAGCTTATTTCTTTGTTTTATCTAAAACAGATGGTTAGTTCAATCCAGATAATTTTGTCCAGTTCGATCAGTCTATTGCAGTAAAGGTGAGTTTGTTTTCTTTTTATTTTTTTCAGTCTTTTTTTTGCATTACTAATTATTAATATTTATTTTTTTCTTTTCTTTTTTCTCTTATTTGTTTTTATCTAGGATTTTTTTTTAGTCCACTCTGGATGATTTCACCTGGTTTGATCGGTCCATTGTGGTAAAGGTGATTTTTTTTCTCTTTTTTTGTATTTGTACTTTTTTTTATTTTTTTTTGCATTGTATCAGATTACTAATCTTTTTTTTATTTAAATGATTTTAGGTTTAGATTCAGATTTCGATTAGATTGTTTAGGCGAAGGTAAGTTGCAAATTTGTTTTTTGTTTAACATTATTTTGGATTACTAATTGTTTTGTCTTTTTAATTTAGTCAATCAAATTAGTGGTCAATCACGGCTTGTTTACCCTTAAAAAGCTAAGCTCAAATTTATATATATTTTTTTTGATTTAGTAAAAAGGCGCTAATCAGCTACGTCGTATAAATCCTTTTTTTTTACAATATCTAATAATTTATTTATATTATACAAAACTGATTTTAATTTTTAAAAAAGGCTATGCTAGAAACAAATTTTGTAAAAAAAAAAAAATACAGATATTTTTTTTTGATATATAATGAACTTCTGTTTCATTAAAATATTACAGTAAAATAGTATACAGAAACAGTATAACGAAATATAAAAACAGTATAATGAAATACTGAAACAATATAACGAAATATTGAAATAATATAACGAACATTGTAACAGTAAACAGTAATAATGTTTCTTAAAAATGGCATCAAGATTTCTTTAAAAATCTTTCCTTTTTTATATATTACAAGGCAATGATCAGTGACAATATGAACACAATTTTCCTTTTAAGTCAATTTACTAATATTATTTTTTTATCAACCAAAATGTATATTTCGTTAATTATTTATTTTTAAATTCTTTGGAAAATTACTCATTTTCTATCAACATTCCCATTTAAATTCCCAGAATACATTTAAATTGACCATAAATTTTATTATTTGCAATTGTAAAAATCCAGATTCGTAAAGTTTTAGTAAAATAATATCAGAAAATTCTAAATTTATTAAACTTTTTTTTGACGGCTATTAAGGTAGGCTTTATGTATTTATATTATGAAATTTTGAATAAATCAAAAAATTTCTGCTCGAATTGTATAGCAAGATCATAGGTTAAATAGTTTCTTACTCATATTTTGATCATACGTAAGGTATATATAATTTTAATAAAAAAAAAAAATACTAAATAATATTATTCTCTATAACTTTTGAGAAATTACTTAAAGCTAAAACTAATATCAAATGTAATGCTGTTTTAACAATATTAATTCAAGTTCACATCATTATATCGGTACATAATACGCTAAAGTTAAAAGTAAATATAATAAACTTCAATTATTGACGTTTACCATTATAGATAAATCTATATTAGTTCATATTTAAATTGCAATTATAAATATCGATATGTCATATTACCTCTTAATTGTGATGAGCTAGGAATTCCTAATTCAATTAATTGAGAATCTTGAAATTCTGTTATAATGCATTGAAATTAATATTTCGTTATTAAAAATAAAAAAAAGCCAAGTGTATATTACCTTCATTATTCTCATCCTTTTCAAGATATGAGGTGATAAGAGACGAATTAATAGGTTTTGTCAAAGTTTTAAATGTAAATGCTCTACTTGTATATATAGCATCAGGATTCGTTTTGCGTGAAATTGAAATATTTTGTATCTCTTTATCTGCCGCTTCAAATGCTTTCTTTATTTCTTTTCCATAATATCCATATTCTTTGATATCTTTATACCAATCATAAATAATAGATGCATTCCAAAAATCAATTGTATCATATAATTCATCGGCTCCTGGTCTTTGGTTTGGATTTGCATCCATACATCTATAAGCCAATTTCTTGTAAAATTCAGGAGTTCCTTTTCCAAATTCTGGACGAAATCCATTACAAATATCCAAGGCTAAAGACACGTCATGTTTTCTATCATCAAAGGGAGGGTTTCCTGATGATAATTCAGCCATAATTACACCAATACTATATATATCAGAAGCTAAAGTATATAATTCTCCATTCAAAACTTCTGGTGCGATATATGGTAATACTCCATATATTTTATCATCCGATTTTTGCTTATCTGCTGGTCCTGATAACCCAAAGTCTGAAATATAAGAAGATACTCCATTTTGCAAGATATTTCCACTATGAAAATCCTTATGACAATATCCTAAACCATGTAATTTTTGAATATATGATGTAATTTACAAATTTTATCTTTCCATAACAAGTGGTTAAAATTATTTGAAAGATAACTTCTTAAATTTCCATCAGGTGCAAATATTACGATCATTATAAAATCTTTGGTTTCTGAATCCTTAGTTATCCCATAAAATCCTAATGCACTTCCTGTTTGAAAAATATCCCAATGTGCTTTAAGCTAGGTATTTGTAATAAAAATTTAAGAGCAAATTAGAAGAATATTCTTATTAATTCATATCAAATATAAATGTGATATACCTCACTAAAATATTTAGCTGACATATCCCGTGATCCATTTAACCTTTTCAAAGCAACCTTCATTGGTTTAGGATCTGATTTTTTCCAACTTCCATCATCTTGCTTTTCAAATTTTGAATAACCATCGATCCATGTTGCAGAATACACTTTGGCAAATCCTCCTTCACCAATTTCTTTTATATCTGTGAATCTATCAAAAGGCACCCATTCAAGAATTTTTGGATAAGTTTCATGCCTTGCTTTATATATTGTTTCTTTTATGAATTTATCAATATTAGAATTTCCACTAGTCCATCCTTCAATCATACACCAAGGGTCACATTCTTTACACCATAATTTCTCGACAAATGGTTTATCGCAATAAGAACAATTCTTATCTAAGACATTTAATTTGTTGAATTCATATTCTATTACGTCTTGTACTTCATTTTCATGCCAATTTACATTCATTTTTTTTTTTAAAAAAAAAAAAAAGTTATTTCTGTAACAATAAGAATATAAAAGGAATTATCCCGACCAAACTTAGATCAAACGGAAAAATATTTGCCGAACATTGCGGTGGTACAAATCTGATAACAGTGATCAGATACTGCGGTAATTAGAATTTTGGGCCCAAAAATTTTGTTGAATTATTTTAATACATTATATTATATTTTTCAATATCCAATTCTTTACTAAATTAAAACATCGTTATAATAGTCGAAAGTTTATCATCAGTCAAAAGTATGAATGAAATCGAAACTATAATTTCCTAATTAATTTAACTGTCAGATTATAATTACTTTCTCATTTGCTCCTTAACTCCTTAACTAATAAACTAATCGCTTATCGTTTTCATAGTTTGATCAAAAAAAATACTACTTAATAAAAGTCATGGTACATTTGCATAAAAGATAATTAAAAATGAAGATAATAAAGCTGTCACTAAAATGTTTGCACATTACCATTTTCGGTTCACGTCACCCGCCGTTTCACCTTTAAATTTTAACCAAAAAAATATTTAAAAAAAATATCACGTGACTTCGAAATATAATATTATTAATATTTCAATTTTATTAACTCAAATAAACACGAGGTTTTCTATTAATATAATAGCAATCCTCCCAAATGCTAAATATTAAAACTACGCAAAATAATAATCGGAAGAATAAAAATAAATGAAAATATTAAAACAACGAAATTGACGAAGTTATTAAAATTACGAAAGCTAGGAAAAAGTGAAGGAATTAAGGTGTATGTATAAATAAAGGAAGGCGACCTTTGCTAAAAGAACTTAAAAAACTTGCTAAAATTCCAAGAAAAACCAACATATATATATTAAGTTTAACAAGAACAGCCTAATAATATGATAAGGTATCCTAACAAAATGGATGATTTTTCGGGTGGAATTATAAAAGCCATTAGTTACGATTTACATATAAATTTTTTTATTAATAAACAATAAACCACGGGACCCTGGTCAATTTTAAATTTTAATGTTACGTGAACCGAAAATGCTAATTTGCGTGGCCTAATTAAAAAAAAAAAAGGTAATAAATTCTTGGACAATAATATTCATCGTGAGATTATGTTACCACATAAAATTTTATACTAATTTTACGTCATTTATATTTAAAACTAGATAACTAAATTATATTTAAATTAATAATTATAAGCTTTTATTATTAAATTAATTAATTTTGATATAAAGTTCTACATAAAGCCACACACAGTTCACGGTTTTTATTTTATATTAATAAAAAATTTTTACTAAAGATTATATCACGTGCTTGTCTAATTTAAAATAATATTTATCATTAAACAAAGTGATTTTTTTTTAATCTCTTAACCGAAATACCTATCATACATGTACGAATAGTAGGTCATAATCATAAGATTGAGAAGGGTTACCCGTCGAAAAAGAAACAAAAATAAAAGATTTTTTGAGGAATTAGTTTCATATTTATCACTTAATTTGTGAAACGTGGATTTTGAAGTAAAATTTAGTCCATCAAAAATATTAGTTAGAGAAAAGATTTCAGCACGATATATTGCTTGGGAAGCTGCATATCAATATGGAATTTATGCAAGTTTTTATCTTAAGTCATAAGAAAGAAACAGAATTTAATGAGGTTTCTATATTTAATGCCTTTGATATTTTAATGTTAAGAGCTAATTCAAATAATTTTATTTATTCTAAAATTTAATAACAACCTAAGAAATACCTTAGAAAAGTTGCAACTTGATTTATCTAATTAGATTAAAAGTAATAGTAATAAATAGAAAGAAAAGATATTGTATAAAGTATTAGAAAGAATTTGTAACAGACTTATCAAGTGCTTTATATTACATTAATAATTATTCTATAAAACCTTTAAAATTTAAAATTTCCAAAGTTTTTTAAAGATCACTTTCAGAAAATTATAAAAATTTAAGATTAAAATTTAAGTTAGAAGAATTAATTTAACAAAGAAAAAATTCTTAATTATATTGAAGTAAATTGGATATTACTAATAGATTTAATTAGCTAAAAGAGCTATTAAATAAATTTGATAAAATTTTAGCTAAATATTCAGAATATTAGAACATTAATAAATTTAAAATAAGAAAATAAAAAATTTATTAGCTCCTATTATTAATAAAATGGAAGTAGGGTCTATTAATATTTTTTTAGCAAAATTGATATAAATCAGAAATTATTATAAATAAATATCAATTATTAATAAAAAAATTAATCTAAACAGAATTTTAGAAACTTATAATATAATGAATTAATCAAAAATTTAAGACTTTTTAAAATTATACATAAAAATATCTTGAAAATCTGTAAATAAAACTGCATCAATCATTAATAAAAGAAGATATAATACAATTTAATATTTAGCACAAATTATTATAATATAAGATTTACATTATCAAATACAAAAATATTATCAGTATAATAGATAAAACTTCAATTTTGATCATAAAATCCAATTTTTTATCTAATTAAAATTATACTGAAAAATTAAAAGCTAAATTTTATTGTAAAATAGATAATTAAGAAATAAAAATATCAATAATCATTATATTTTAATATTATTTTGATATTTAAAAAAATTAGTAATTATTTTTAAAGATTACTTATAGTTAGTTTTTATAAATAATAAGTATAAATGTAAAGTTAAAGAATCAGATTATTCAATTATTACTGTAAAAGAAGAAAATAAGAAATAATTTTATGCAATAAATCTTTTATTATTAGTAATTATAATTTTATCAAATGTAAAATTATTCCTAGTATTATAATATTTGTAATATACTAATATTTATAGAAAAATCTTTTTATCAAAATAAAGTTTATATAAAAATTAAAAAATTTAATTATTTAACTATCATCATTCCAATTGAATAATTTATTATTATTTTAATTAAATAATTAGTTATCATTCAAAAGAATAATTTTTTATTATTTTAATTGAATAATTAGTTATCATTATAAAGAATAATTTATTATTTTAATTAAATAATTAATTATTATTTAAAAAAACAATTTATTATTATTCAAAAATAATTTATTATCATTCTAATTAAATGATTTATTATTATTCAAGAAGAATAATTAGTTAATATCAATTTGTTAAATTAAATTAGATTAATTAATAGGTTAATCTAATTTTATATTAACCTAAAAATTTATTAATCTGATCTGAATATTTAGATCAGATTAGATCAGGTAAGAGGTTGACCTAATCTGATTCAAAGTTCTAAAAATAGACTTTAAACTAGTATATAATATTACAAAAAAAATAAATATACTAATTTAATATGAAAAATATGATAAATAATAAGTAATTAATTTAAAATTAAAACTATTTTCACAAAAATATGAAGAATTGATAAGATTTTTAGATAAAATTTAATATATATATGATGATATAATTTATAATTTATGTAACTCTATATAAAATTTTAATAATGCTAATAATTTAATAAAAAAATTATTCTTGATTATTAAAGTTAATAATCTTCTAATATATAATAATTCTATTGAGATTCTATATTATATAATGAATTGTTTAGTAAAAAGATACTTTATTTTAATTGTGAAGTAAAATATAAAGAAAAATATAATGATTTTCTTTTCATATTGTAAAGATTATAATATATTAGTTAAGAATAAAAAAGAAAAAGAAAAATAAACAAATTTATAAAATCAAATAAATAAAAACACATAATAAAATTTTTATATATTATTATTATAGATTTCTTTAACTTTTTACTTAAGATTAATTACTATTTACAATTAAGATATTAGAATTTATCTAATTCTTAACTTTACTAAATTATATATTAAATTCAATAAATTCATCAAGTATAAAGACATAAAGATGAGATTATAAATAATTTTAATTAAAAGATTCAATTACAAATTTTATATAGAGATATTATAGTTAATTAATTACTATATGATAAAATAACTAATTTAATAGATAAAATGTAAATAAATTAAGAATAATAATAATATATAATAAAATAATAAAAGTAAAATCTTAAAAATAAGTATTATTTTAAATATTTTTAAACTTTATTTAATTTGTAGAATTAGATCAGTAAAATTTTGTAAATCTTTCATATTCTTAAAATATATATATTTTTAAAATTTGATATTTAAAAATTATCACACTATATAGTTTATATAATTTTATTTTTATTGGTTAATTATTCTACTAATAATATAAAATTTTCTTAATTAAAATATAAAAAGGTAATTCAATCAAATAATGTCTAAATTTATATAACCTAATCATAATAAACTATAAATATTATTAATTAAAATATAAAATTTATCTTTTTATACTTTATATGCTATAAATAATAAACATTATTATATTTAATTTGTAAAAATATTAACTTTTATAAAAAAAAAAAATTTATGTTAAAATAAAATATAATTGATTTTAAAAATTGAATTAATTAATTAATCTTAATAAATTTCAAGGAAATAAAATTAATATTCAGATTATGAAATAATTTTAATAAAAGTTTTATTTATCAAAATATTAAAAATATCATTAATTTAGATAATTAATTAAATTATTAAATTATATATTATTATAAATAAACTTGAAATATATATAAATAAATTTTATTTATTATAATTTGTATTATATTTAATAAAATTTTTTTAAATTACTATTATTAGTATATTTTATTTAAAAGTTTAAATTTAATATAATTAAATAATATGTAAATAAAATTTTAATTAATAATTAATAATGATATTTATAAAATTTAAATTTAAAATTAATTATTTAAAATTAAAAATAAAGTCAAAATAGTTTAAATTAACTAGAAATTAGATAGCTAAATTTAGGCTGATTTTAATATTATTTACAATTAATTTATCATATTTTCTAATTATCTAATTTATTGTTAATTAATGTTAATCAGACAAAACTATTTAATTCAAAAAATTCAAAATTTAAATT